CACATATATATATATAATTATCTTATGCTTCTCAATTAGTTCTGGTTTTTTACTAAAGTTGATGGATGCCCACAGAAGGCTTGAAAGACAAGCCTTTATCTGTACTACTTCATATATGCAAATAATGGTCACTAATGTCATAAAGGTGTTTTTCACCATTTTCACTTAAACCTATGTGCATCTGCTTTTGATGTTGCTAAATAATAACTGGTCTGAATATGTTAATTACAATAATGTTTATTTTGTACATATTTATGTATCTACACCAAGCTGAAAATGTACATTACTCCATTTTATATGAGGAATGTAAATGTTGCGATATTACTGTCTCTGGTATTCTAACAGGAAAATGAATTCTGTATATATACACTAAAAGTGAATTACTAAATAAAGGCAAAACACTAACTTTGCATTAAGTTTCAGCCTAGCTACACTAACAGGCTCATGTCAGAAATGCTTGTTCAAAACACTATTGACTGAAATCTTTTACCTTCATGTATATGTAATGAAAATAAATTTTTCATGATTTAACAAGGTTGCAGCATTTACTGTTTAGTCCCTTCCAAGCTATAGTCCTTGGTTACCACATAGTTACTTGTAGGCTCTAGCTAGGTTCAAATAAGGTGAAGAATTATTCATGTCTTAGTTTTAATGAAGATGTGGTCAGTGCAGTGGAAATATCTACATTCAGTCCTCTTACAGTTTATATTACAGAACTATCTAGGAAATAAGCTATTGGTGCCATCACCAAACAGCTGTGATTGAGCAAAGCAGAAAGAGCAGAGCTGAGCAATCTGCTCCTAATCTCCCAAAAAATTGAGATCCAGTCAAACAGCCTTAGTTTCTTGGACAAGAGATTCTACTGTTGTCTTATGAAAATTTACGTGCACTTGCAGACATATTCTAGTCAAGAATATTCTGTTATTGCAATCCTATGTAATTAAGTAATCTTTAAGACTTCATTTAGCAATGTTTGCAACTGTTCTATTAAATAAAAAGTAGCAATACAGAAGTTTGGTACTGATAGGCAGTGTGTATGTTAACCAGTTTGCTACCCATGAGAAGCAGTGCAGCTGTTTAAAATTGCAAAAAAAGTATGGAAGCGTTCAGCTGAATGCATCTGCTAGTCCCATTAAGCATTTCCTTTCCATTTGTTTTGAATATATTTTCAGAAAGAAACAGCACAATTAGGAGATAACAAACACTCAAAGAATGATAGAGAAGACTGTATGGAAACAGCACATTATAGGCATCTCAACAATATTATCTGCCCCGGTGCAATCTAATTTAAATCTTAAAGCATGTAGGTGACAAATTCCAAATTACTGATCTCTGCAGCTCAAACTCGTTTCAGTGTTTCTGCCAAATTTCCCCATATCCTGACAGTGAATATGTAGTTCCAAGTACAGCCTGTGGAAATTGCCACTTCTGAGTTGAATTAGCTGAGTGATTCTTATTCCTGTTGAAAATGTCATGTCTGCAAAACCAAATCAGTACTTTCATTCACAAATGAGTAACAGTTGTCTTCTTTCCTTCCAATGAGCATCTGCTAATTTATGTTTGCACCTGGATCATTGTTGCCCAAGAGGATAGGTGACAAATGTCTTGTTGCCTGTCATCAATACCAGCTGCAAGCCTCTCTTAAAGGTAATGTTCTGTAATAAGTGGCAGGCATAAATTTCAGTTGGAGTGCCATAAAAACTCTGTCTGTTTGAATAGTGAAGTGTTATGATTTTGCAATAACTGCCTTACTGTTCAAGTGATAGCAAATGAGATTAGATGGCAAGGGTTATTTCCTGAACTTCTGTGGTTTTAAAGTAGAATAAATACTGATACTGAATAACAGCATAAATAAAAACATACAGAAGTCCTTATCCAACTGACTACATCTCTTCTAGTGATAAAAGTGAATCACTGAACATACTGCAGTTTCAGACTTGGTTGTACACAGACTATCCTAGAAAGACAGTCAAGGATAGGCTCTTCAGAATCATTCTGCTTTTTCTCCAACTCTTGGCAAATAAATGACACTAATCTCTTTGCATATGTATATTATAATTTGAATTTACATCAGCATAATGACAAATCATTAACATAATAGACAATAATATATAATAATGTGTCAATAAATAAAACATATTAATTATGCTGCACACTATGACCTTTCTTTTGTGACCTTCCAACAAACATTGCTATTTGCTTAGATTTGCTCTTGCATGCAGGCTGTAAAAGTTCAATATGAATACTAAAAGCATAAGGTAAAAAAGTATGTAAACATGAAAATACAGATTTCTGAATATGCAGCAAGTGCTGCAGCTGAGAAGACAGGTGGAATAGGGAAAGGGAGTGTCCTGCTATATGTGGACTTTTTGTGCAAATTGCTTTTTATGTTTGGTAGTAAAAATGGTTCTGATTTCCCCAATCTGAAAATCAAGTGCCTTTGTTGATCAGAGACTCCTCAACATCTACATTTTCTTATTTCTCCATGCTAGAGGAGTGAATATTTCAGGTACTAGTAGCATTTATTGTTAAACCTCTTTTAAGTAATTTCATTTCATGTATTAGAAGTTTTTAACGTTTATGAAAAATTTGTAATGTGACTAGTTTGGAGAAAATCCATCTGTGGAGTTAAGAAGAGTGTATTGCATTCACAGCTCAACAACTATTTGTTCACTTTGGTCAGGTTTTTATATTGTTTTGTTTCTCAACAAAAAGCAGGCATCATCTATATATACATCCACAAAGTACTATTTTCCACTAAATTCAATTTTCAACTGTATGGGCAATTTCTATATTAACTAAAATACATTGCTACAAAAAGGATAAAAAGAAGCAATCACATTGGAGTTTGCATAAATTTATCAAAACTTCTTTGTACATCCTGCTTTGAACTTGATCAGTAATGAACCTTCTTGTGGAACTGCAACACAGAACTGCATGTTTTTCTGGGGTATTAATGTGATCACTGTTTGATATCAGAGGCAATGTTAGTGACTTAGTGAAACTTGATGCTTAAAAACTTAAGCTAGAATGACCTAAAGGTACATTAGCATAAAAATATCCACATTTTATAGGATATGCTGCTAATTCCCCTACCTGTAGAACCTCCAAATAATGTAATTCACTTGGGAGGACAGTAGAGACAATGCAAATCCCCTAGGAAAGCCATTGTGGTAGTCCTGGAGACTAAAACTAAAAAATCAACCTATAAGACAGAAATTAGTGCAATCTATATGGAAACTATAGTGTTGTGTTCAATTATACATCAGCTACTAACTCTGTGTATTAAGAAGGAAGATGAAAGCTATGGATAACTAATGGATTTCTAGATTAAATGAGGTATATTTTGGTCTGTGAAATACTCTTACCAGTATATATTCTGTAATTCTCTGAGGGGTTTACGTGCTGATGGAGTTTTTTGGTTGTTTTTTGGAGGGGATGGATTGTTGGTTGGTTTTGGTTTGGGTTTTTTTTTTTGTTTACGCACTAGTCCAAGACATAAGAAAAATCAGTAAAATGCATTTACACAGTAGGCAACAGATACAAAAATTCTGACTGATGGAAAGCACACAGTAAATTGACTTCCAATGTAACATCAATATAGCATGAAGTTTCAGCTTCAGAGCAAACATGCTAATTTATGCATACCTACTCATTTCTGGACACTAAGATACAACTGCTAGATCCAAGATACAACACCTTAATGCTCTTCTTTTCCAGGAACTAATACCTTATTTCTGTTATGAAAAACAAAAGCAATGTGGCATACTCTTTGAATTGCATTGTACTGCACAAGTGACTGAAATTTCTAGTGCCCCACTTTGAGAACTAGAATTCCTATGAGAACATTTTGCATAGTATATGCTCTATAATAATTGGTTCAACTTTTTGCTGTTCGTAATGGAGGTACATTCTGGATCCATTCCTTCCCAAAGCTGGAATCCCTCTTTTCATCCCACCCTTCAACACCACAGCTTACCGTCACTTTCCCTCTCCAGTTTGAGCTCACAGTGATAATTTTCTAATCTGCTCTAGGAGCAGCAAAAGTTACTTTGGTTTCCCCAGCAATCAAAAAATTGCAATCAAAATCACAGATTAATTTCTGACATATTTACAGCATGCATTTATGCCACAAGGAGGACCACAGAGGAGGTAGTGACAAGATGCTGAGAGGAAAAAAACAATAGGCAGCATATTAAAAGTAAGTTTTAAAAAGTTTTTAAAAAGTAAAGACACAGTTCTCAACAGAATGCACAGTGCTACAAGTTCTAGCAGTTTTTCAGTGGAATTATTCTGCATAACTGTGATCCCAAATTTTATCACTTTAAAGTGGGTATAAATTCCCCAGAGTATCACCCTTTTTGCTGCCTTCTCCCAGTCCTGACTCCCCCACACAGAAAACTGCTTCTCCTCCCCTCTGTACCAAGCAGTTAACCTGCCAAATCCTGTTCTTCAAATGCTTCCTCCTGTTGCAAAGTGTCTCATCACTTCTGAACGCAGAGATCTCACCTTTAGCTTGTCACCTTTGGTGCCTTATCTGATGTTGTTTTAGATCTAATGCTGACACCAGGCAACTACTGTAAACTGTGCAGTGAATTACACTGAGTAGCTCTTCAATCTTAAACACGATTATAATATAATTCCACCCTACTTTAAACCCCTCCTTTTATTTATTTCTCCCCCTCTCTTGTCACTATGGTGTAACAATCATGTGCCATTGCATTCAACTGGACCTTACCAAGTTTTTATGTTGAACTTTGAGTATCACCCTCCCTTTGAGAGAAGCATTAGAGTAACTTCATTAAAACCCAGCCCTACATTTCCCGTGAATTACATCGCTGTGCCAGCTCTGGGCTTGGCTTATGGCTTTACCACACTGAACCACAGAACACTTGGCACTGTCACACATCTCGACACTGCACACGCAAAACCATCTCAATGGTTACTGAGCTGCGGCACACAAGTCACACTAAACCAAAATAAAAGCTGAACCCCTTCACCTCTGTTCGGCGTGCTGATACTGTAGATAGCAGCTCCTCTCGGGGTGGGAAGAGCCCTGGGACGACGGCTGTAGAAGGCTGCGCTAGGGGCTCCCCTCAGGGCCGAGCGCGCGGGGCGGCTTCGCGCCTCGCCGGCCTCGTGCCACCGCCC